TACATTATGCAAAGGTTACCCTTACTCCTAGTACCAGCTCATTAGTTTGGCAGTTCTGGGTAACCTATACTTGGAAAAATTTATTTCGGTTATCCCTACTTGTAGTCTAGCTCGGTAGCTCGATAGTTCGGGGTAACCTACATATTTCTACTCCTACTTGGTAGTTCGCCAGTTYGAGAGTTATTTACACTTAGAATATTTTTACACAAAGATAAGCCAAGAAAAAAGTTTGTATTTCATTCATGTAAAGATTTTAAGTACAAAAGAGAGGCTTTCGCCCGAGCTCGGAGGCCCGAGGTATACATCGCAAGGGTCCAAGGAAAAGAAGAAAAAATCAAGCATCAAGACTGCTAGGTAGGTCGCTCTCCATACGATCCTCCTCCGCATCCTCCCGACCCGACGGGCCAGCCTCTGAGATTTCATTGTCGCTTTCCTCTTCGGAGGAGCTGGGTTCTTCGTTTGCCACCTTCGCCACCTCAAGAGTAACGTCAGACATGGAAACAACCCTGAGGTCCAGTTCAGGAAACTTCTGGCGCATCAGATATTTGCACAACTTGTAGCCAGAACAATACGAGCTCGATCCATATTCGACCTGGAGGTGGTGGAACTCCGGAGACTTCTTGAAGTTTTCGATGGTGCGCTCCTTCTCTTTAGCTCATGCCTCTTGAATGGTGGTCTCAAAGATTTCGGTGCRCTCTCGGATCATTGCTTCAAGGTTCTCGTTCTCGCGTTGAAGCTTCCCCTTCTCCTCAGTCAAAGCCAGGATCAGCTCCTGTTGGCTTAGGGCTCCCTTCTTAGCCCAAAGAAYCTCGCCCCCAGCTATGTCCTGCTCGCAATAGAGTTTCCGTGCCTTCTCTTCGGCCTCTCGAGTTTGCTTCAGGCGGATCTCGGACTAGTAAACCAACGAATGAATGGTAGAGTTCACCTAACAAAGGAAACAAAGGTAAGTACACTTAAAGGCAGATAAGGAAACGAAGTGTAAAGTAAAAGTACTCACCACCATGCAATAACTGGCAGCCCGACCTCTGAGCTGACTCGTAGGCATGCCGGCCCACTCCACGACCTCGACAGGAAAAACAACACCCTTACTCTTGAGCAGCCCAAGCTGAGGGGTCATGATACTTTCCTTCAGGGTTTGGGGCTCGAGCACAGAAGTGTTCTCTAGGTTACGAGGTGGAATGCCTTCGTCCTAGTCCTCATTGAGGTCCACAATGAGAGGCTGGGGATGGACCTCCTTCTCTGGAAGCTTAGTAGAGATTGGCTCCGGTGAAGCGACCTCGGGCGGAACAGGGGCTGAAGGACCGGCCTCCCGGCAAGCCTTCTTTGAGGCCTTCCTCTTCTTCCCTCTCTGGAAGCTCTTTAGATTTAGAAGGTTCTCAGCATCGACCTCCATTATGGCTACTGCAAGAGTAAAAGAAAAGGTTAGTCACAAACAAAAGAAAATTTTAAATGAGTAAGTACTGAGGTGAAAACCTACCAGGAGGGCTCAGTCCAGCTCGCACAAGCTTCTCCTCAGCCAAGAAATATCTCATCTCTAGGCCGAAGTCCCTCCAGGAGTTAACAACCACCCTTGTCTCCACGTCTAGGCTCACCCCGGGATCTTTGATAGCCACCCTCTAGTGAGTTGGGAAAGACCATCCCTTAGGATTCCGAACAAAAAAGTATCTCCTCTTCCAGGCTGACACTTTGTTCGGGTTATCGAACAGGATTTTAAACTCGGGCCGAGGAGAGATGTAGTAACTCTATCGGATGTCTCCGCGTAGACTAGCGGAGTTCTTTTTGATTGAGCAGATTGAGCTAAAGACATCTAAAGACAGAGGTCGGTTGTATTTGTGGAACAGGGAGATGGTACTTACTATAGTCCAGATCGAGTTTGGGTGAAGTTGGTCGATGGTGATGTCAAAAAACTTAATTATTTCTATGATAAACGAGTGGAGCGGGAAGCACAGCCCGGCTATGAGCTGCTCTTTGAAAACCACGACCTCGTGGTGATCGTGAGCCCAGGGGTATTGACCTAAAGGAA